GCGAGTTCAAAATATATCAACTTCATATATTTCATTGTATCTCATTTATCACTTTCACGGGTTTATTACGAATCAACTTAACGGCCTGCTCCCAGTTGGCTTGTTAGCTCAATTGGTAGAGCGCTGCACTAGTATCGCAGAGGTCAGTGGTTCGAATCCCGTACAGGCCTGACCTTTTTCAGGTCTGATTTTCGCTATTGCTTAAATAGCGCTATCTACTGCGAGGATCGTACATCATATGTATCAAACTAATGAAGCAGCATATGCAGCAAAAGTGCGAGTGTTATGAATGAACTGAGTGTTTCAAATGCTATTCGCAATAACAAAAATGAAAATGGTTCTGAGAAGCTCTTTGTTTTCAAACAGCTTTTTTTATGATATTTTTAAGTATCCTGCAAGCCACATGAGAAAATCTCCTTAAGATCTCTGAGGACCATTTCTATAATCAAGCAATTCGCAGCTGAAGCACCAGTAATTTTTCGCTTTTCCTTGTCGCGTATGTAATAACAAAGTAGGTTTTAAGCAGTATGTGCATTGATTTTCACTGTGCGAGGGAGTTATTCAGTTAATTCCTAACTATTAACTTTTCCCTCACTGTAGACAAGGGAACGTCACGACAATTACGTGATTGCACTGCGGGAAGTGTTTACATCTTAGTTCACATATCGCCCTGGTCCACTGACAAATTTATACTTGCATTGAGCTCAGTTTAACGGAAGGTTCTTATCTTTCAGCAAATCCTAGAAGGGAAAAAATTAAACAAACATTATGGAACATTAGATATTCATACATATTCTAGATTTATAATTTTAGGCATTTACATTTATACGATTGTATTTAGCTCTAGATTTAACCAAAGTTATCTGTAAAATACGCAATTAAGTTTTACGACTGCAAAGTAATATTCAATAAACGATCTATCTATCTATCTATCTGTCTATCTATCAGAACATACGCTTTGATAGGGGCAAAGATTAAGCAACTCCCTTGTCCATTTTCTTTTACTTTTACTTATTCGCGAATGATCACCGATTCGACCAGTCAAGATAATCCGTTACTTACATCTTTTTTTCCAGTAAGTTCTTTCTCAAGTAACGCCAAAAGATCTGTAAATGATGGACGTTTTATCGGATCCAGATCCCAGCAGGACTTCATCATATCATAGCTGTTAAAAGGAAAAGAAAATGTTTAGTTCACCCAGCCCACGATCAAAACCGAGCTATCGCACTAGAGCTGATTTTTATTCCTTGAAACATTATTTACAATTCATTTGGACATCCGTCCGGCTTGGCTAGAATTTGTCCTGACTGTAGATAATCTATAATTTCCATTGCTCCTCCAAGGTCGCAATATGGCATTATACCTTGACAAAGAAAGTAAAGAAACATACTTGTTAGGCCAAAGATCAACTTAATCCTATCTGCAGAGTGGGACACTTAATTAATAAGTAACTCTTGGGGAAGTAATTATGATGCACTGATTATCAAATACAGGTTAAAGCGTTCACCTTCTGACTCGATCTCCCAAAGAAGCACTCCAAACGACCACCTACAAAAGAAAAATAACATGCATAGAATCAACTCTTTATGCTCACTTGATTTCCAAACTTAAAATATAACAAGGTCATAACTCCGTAAAAAATTCTTATATTTATCCGTAGTTGTCATCAAGGGCAATAGCACTAAACACTGTTTCAGAAGATCCTTATTTTCTTTTCATATTCAGTGGTTTTCTGCAGTTTATCATCTACTCGACAAATCATCTCGTTCTCTATTAGCTTATGACGGATGCGAAATTGGTTTATATGATAAGCTGACCTGGTTTTTAGCGCATTGTTTTGGCGCATTTTCTACCCATGGCCTACTGATGGACAGGCGCAAATATATATATATATATATATTTTGTCAATTAAAACATAAAGAAGACGTCAGAAAGTGATAAGAACATCATTGACGTATTCGACTGCGCCTCGGGTGTCACTTTTCAATTTTTATCACATTTTGACGTCATCTGTGATAACTGAACAGGCCAACGGCAAAATAAATTCTATTTGCAAAAAAGAATGCAACACGAAATCTCCGCATTGCACCAGCTAACAACGTCAGCATTTAAAGACAACTGCGAGTACATTTCGTGCTCTATTGCCACTGTTAAAATAGATTCAAAAATTGCACGCTCACGGTTCGTACGATAAGGGAACCGTCCAAAACGTCACTCGTGCGCACTGACCACGAAATGTACTCGCTCTCACAAGATTTTTCAACTTATGTCTTACACGTCTGTCTTCGTGTTGAATGTGAAGAAATCCAAAGACTCAAGAGCCATCCAACGAACTGGTAACATTCCCTAGTTTTTGGGAGAAATTGGAAAGGTTTACCTTTAGTGCGCTAAGCTAGTGTGAAAATTGATACAATCAAACAATCAAAGTTTGTAATTTCTGTGTATAGATAATTTGACCTATAACGACGGTGATAAAGTTGCTGCAGGGGGGGGAGGGTAACAAATTGATTTCAGGATGCTAAAATATCTATGTTAATTCTGATTAGATGGACTGCCAA